TGAGTTGCGCAGTGTTCGCTTAAATTTGTTTTTTTGATCGCTCGAAGTCGCGACTTCCTTTTTGGGTCGAGCAAAATTGCGCAGAATTTTGTCGGCCTCTCAAAGCCGCCTTATTTTTATTCTGAGTACTACTGATTGTTACGTTTACTTTTCTGAATCGTGGAAGGTCGCGTAATTTTTTTTTGGTTTGAGTGATTTCGAAGTTTTTTTGGTGATGTTATAAAACCGCATCATACCCAATTTGGAGAGTCGCGACACTTTTTTGAATCAAGCAAAAACGCGCAAAGTTTATTCGGTTGCGCAAAGCCTCAACATACCCATTTTGGACTGTAATGGCTGCAACATACCTGTTTGGGGTCGCATCAGAAGTTCCGTACCTCGGATTGGGTTTGGAACATTTTGTCAAAATTGTATATTTTTTTCAATCTTATTTTATTTTCCTGTTATCGTTATGATAGCCCATAGTAATTTTTTTATGCCTTGTATGTATGCCCAGTGTAAACTTTGTATTTTTTTCTTTTAAGGTTTGCTCGCCCATTTGGAGAAAACATCTAAGCTAGAAAGTTAGAAAGACCTGTTAAAAACAACACAAGTATGATGAACTATTTACAACAGATGAATATAAATTAAAACTGCTTAAAAAGAACTTTTCAAAACCAGAATTATCTCTGCAAAGTTTTGGAAGCGCCTTTCTTGTCTCATTGGAAGAATCCAATTTTTTTATGAACCCAGTGTTGCCTTTTATTCGCGCATTTTGTTCGACAATTGGGAGTCAATTGAAGGCAAATTGTAGTGAAAGGTCATAAACTATGTTAAAAAACTGCCACACGGCTATCCCGTTAAGCTTGCACCCGCCGACTCACACGCTGCCACACAGTTAAGCCTTGTCTATTAAGAGTGCGCCCGCCGATTCATACAGTGCCTTTTTAGAGTAGCCGTCGATTCACACGTGCACGTATTAGAGTGCGCCCGCGCCGTAATCTGAAACAGCTTCAAATAGGTTTTTCTTAAACAACCCGCACACAACCACGTAATGTTGATGTGCGATTTATCCCCTGGAAAAGCATTTTTGATGTCGTCGCCATTGGTTGTAGTCGTGTACACAGGTGTGCGAGATTGGATATCAACTTATTCAGGTGATGAAGTGAGCCCATAAAACTTTTGAGTTGCTTGAAAGTTTTTCTGTGTCGAAGTTTAACATCGCAACTGTTTTTCACTGCACCGCACTTTTGCCACATTCGTTGATCACAAAAGCAAGCCATATACTGCGGGATGAAATAATTATGTCTTCTAAGAAGCAAAATTGTTTTTGTAGTTGCTCAACGCAAGTTCGATGACTTTTACATTTCTGCTGGCATATTTTTCAGCTCGTAAAAACCAAGTTTGAACTGACTTAATCATGTTTCTTGCTTTCCTGTTAAGCTAAGGTTCCACTGTTACTGGTGGTTTTGTTAGCCTTATTTGGTTGTGAGCATACCTAATAGCTATCGCGGAATAAAAAGCGGACCCGGGTTTTGTTTTCATTTGTGCTGATTATGACAAATTGTTGAGACGGTCATCAGTTTTTGGAATTTGGGTTTTTTTTTGTGATTTGCCAAATCAATTTGTTTCAATTCTATCACCGATGTGTAGGAATGGTCCACCTTGACTCTTGATATCATTGGACTTATAACCTTTTGAGTGATGTGTCCTTGATCTCCCATTAGTTTTATTTCCTTTTCAACCTTTCTTGCGTGTTTTTGGCTCTATTGCTTTGTAATCAGCAAAAAAATTCGTATGATTTCTTGCTCCTCTTATTACTTTACATAGTATTGGTTATATTGTTATAAACCATTTAATTATTTGAGCATCCGAGTTTTCATTGTCGGAAATAAGATTGACTCCTTTACCAGTTGGTTTTTTTATTGATGCAGATGGACCCCGATCAGCGGCAGAACGTTTCTGTCCAGTATGTTAGCACGTTTGTAGTCTAAAAGGATGAAGGATGATGTGTTTACTGTCTATGCCCTGACTCAGTGGGTGTAATAAACTTTCCGATTGATGGGATTCTTTATCCGCAGTAACAATCCATTCGATTTGCTTTATCTTCGTCATTCAAAATAATTATACTTGCTTTTTTGGAAGAATGCCGGAACATAGCTGCTGTTTTCTTGTTTACAAATGACGTAGATGACCATATGTGTCTGTAATGAAGGCTAGGTTGTTACTTTTGCCTGAACTTTCATTGGATGGCCTCTTAAGTTAGTTTTGTCTAGATTTCTGCATGCGTATTCTCCAACTGCATTGAATTGGTCGGTGTGTCGTCCAGCGATTGGTTCTGATTGGTGCTTGCAGCGATTGGTCCTGATTGGTCCTTAAAGTAACACAATTTTGCAGAGTGTCCGCGTTTTTGTGAACCTATTGCAATTTTTGTTCTTTGACGGAAATGCTGTAGGTTTTCTAATCCCAAAAATTTCCGCAAATGAAGAAGAGTTGCCTGTAATCCAATGCAGGGGCGGATTTAGGGAGGGGGGCGGGGGTGGACGCTCCCTGTCAGGGATTCGACCCCCTGCCGACCCAAAGGGTCCCCCCTTTGGTACTTTTTAAGAAACAAATTTTTGGCCGACCGACCTTAAAATTTTTCTAAAGGCGCCTTTGGCGCCCATATATACTAATTTTGAGTGAGGAGCGCGCGCCGAAAAAACGCGATTTTTTATCAACATTTTACAGGAAGTGCCAAAAAAAACGCTTTTTTCGCCTGTTTTTCACAAATTTTGCCTGCGGCGCTGAAATTTCAACCAAAACAAGGTGTTTTTAGAAGGTCGACAAAATTTTCGAAAATTTTTCAAAATCCGCCCTCCCCCCTGGAAAAAATCCTAGATCCGCCCCTGCTCCAATGTTTTTCTTTGATAGTCTTCCTTCTGGAAACAAGCTCATCCTCGTCTGCCATGATGATTCTTTCTTTTGATGCCGCATCTTTGCATGTATCCAACTGGCTGTTTTCACTTCAGTACTTCGTCCTGCTGCTCCCTAAAGTCCTTGTTTTTTTTTATCGGCAATCCGTTGTCGAAACCTTTTATCCAGCGGATCGGACCGCCAAAAGCTTAATCCGACGTTTTGTTTGAGTTTTTAGGTCCTACTGAAATTTATCATTACGCATGTTCGCCTTGAAACGGTGTCTGATATTTTCCTCCTCTAAAACGCCGTCCTAGCAAGCAGTTTGCTTAAGATTCCTTTTTACCACCAATTCGATTGAGCCCCTGTGCAATTTTTCCAGACTTTCCCTTTTGTTCTGTTTTTTAGCAGAAATTTCGTCTCTATAAGAGGAGACATTTGGCGGCTTAACGATTAGTGTGGTTGTCATTTCCTGAAACTTTATGTTGGGATAGCACTGACTAAGATGTCTCAGCCTTTCGCTGCCTAGACAGAGGTATATAATACTCAGTACTTTCATATCAGCCTCGTCCTTCCCCTAAGATGCCATCAGCTTGTTGGGCCAAGACTTTTCATGCGTATGCATTGGTTTTTCCAGTGCACCCCGTTTTCTTGGTTCTTGAGTTTCTTGTAGCTGACTTGTGTGTTGCTTTCAACGTCGATTGGTAGTTCGCTCCTAGGTTCCGGTATATTTTTTTATCGCTGGCGGGGATTTTCTAGCTGGCGTGGATTTCATGGAAATTTCTGGAGTTTATTACCGTTTTTTTAGCATAATTCTTAGGATTAGTTGCTGATTCCACGTTTCTGATTCCGCTGATGGTTTTTGCCAGAAAATACCCAATGGGTTTTTGATAACTCCCGGCTGCGCAATGCTAAAACTACGGAGTTTAAATTAAGTGAAATAAATTAGGCAAACACTTGAGAAATAAGAGAATATAGCGAATCATCGATTTAAGTTCATTTATTTAAGTGTACGTCTGGTTGTTTTGACCTCTGAACAATTGACAGGACAGAAAAAAAATCATAATAACTAGTGCATATTGCTTTTTGCTTTATGGAAATTTATTTTTCAGACTTCTCTTTGTTAGGTTGAACTAAAAGTTATATGATTATACTGCATCATTTGTTTTTCTAAAATATAGATTTTGTTTTATTATTTGCTGTTCGTTCTATTAAAGTGCAGATAGCAGACTCAAACCAGTGAGCTTGGAACCAGTTATAATTTGTATGCAAATTTCTCGATGTTCTCAGCTGTTGGAATTTTTTTCAGATCTGCTGAAATCTTAGTATGGTCAATTTAGTCAAACTTAAATACTTTTTCTGTGCAAACTTCCCCGTAAATAATAGTTTGTATGAGCAAACGTCGATAAAACTTTTTAATCAAACTTCTAGGATTGGCGAGCCAGAAATTGTTTTCGTAAAAAATGTAACCGTGTTGGAAAAAACTGCCATACAGTGTTGAGGGGGATTGATCTACTGTCTCGACTATTTTAAATGCATTTTCGACAAAGTTTTAGATTAAAAAAAGAGCAAAAATGCGTTTTTTGTTCATCAAAAATGCTACTCATTCTAAATTTTAAAGTATAAAACTACAAAAATACACTAATCATAAATTTTTCATGAAATTTTCTGTGTTTACGGAATAGATAATATTTTGAAATTTTCTTATTATCATTTTTATGCCATATCGTTGCATGATTACAATGTCTAAAAGCTGTCTTCTTGTTCTCATTTTTGGGGTCTATTATCGGGGTTCATACGACTTTTAGCGATTTCGTTTTAGAATGTATTCAGGTCTTCAGCTCTATTATCGGACCTTTTTCTAGGCAAAGCTATATATCCAAAAAATTGCTAATTTCCATCTGTGCAATAAAATTAACTTCAGTCATCGCGTTAGTTTTAGTTTGTGATAATATAAACAGTGTTTTTTTTGTACCTGCGCATTTGCGAGGAAACGAAATATTTTTAAACATGTCTTTTGAGCGGCCCAACCAACCTTGCAGCTCTCTGCTATTTTTCAGGAAATAGTAAATGAACTGCGCTGAAACGATTTTTTTTTGCTTTAAAGGGAAACCGCAGGTTATTTAACGCAACAGGAAATATACAACCCATAAGGCAAAACTAATAGTGCAAATTTGTACACTTTTGTCATTTAAGCTTTTGACCAATTTCATTTTCAAAAACGCGTTTTGTTGCTTCACCATTTGGACTAATGTTTCATCTCTTACTTTGTTTGCGCAGCTTACCTTTGATCAGGCAGACTTATTGATTCAAAACATTTGCCTGATTTTTTACATTTATAGTTACATTTATGCCAAGTTTCATCGCATTATGACAACAATAAAGTAGTTTCAAAATTCACAACTCAATGGTGGGGGAAAGTGGACAATAGCCAGAATTTTTTAAGTACGGTTTCAATAATGCGGACTTGGTTTGAAAGAAATAAAAACTCTAAAAAGCGGTATGAAACTGGACAGTTCCTTCTTGTCACTGAATAATCCATTTGTTCACTTATTAATTCATGAAGCATTCGGAAACTCCATTTTCACTGCTCCATTCTTTCATTTTTCATGACTCTCCTGGTCTGAAAAAAAAAGAAAAACAACAATTATGTAGCTCAGTAAATTGATGGGTGTAAAGGAAAATAAAAAGTTGGTTGAATTTATAGGTCTTTTCAGCCCCCCTCCCCCTTACATGATGAATAACAAAAATTTGCTTCGTTTTAGCATTTTAATCATAAATACCCTGCTCTTCAAGTAATATGAACCCAATTTTGAAAGGATAATTATCATTTTAATTTTTAGTTGAAAACCCTTAAAAAAAACCACTTTTGGTAAGAATTTTGTCAATAAACTTGTACTTGTTATTTTTTGCCTTTAACAGCAATCCTGTAAAAGTTCGAATGTTATGCTTTGTACCATTACATTGCTGTACGTTTTGTCGTTTACATATTAGAATGTAACCAGGTCATCAGATTTAATGTACCTGAACAAAAGCAGTTTCAATTTATTCCGCAAATAAACTAGTTCATGAATGATAATAAAATTGATTTCAAATGTGAGATAGTTGCAAGCAAAGGCTTAAGTTTCGCATTTTTGATAATATTTGGATTATTTCTCAGTTATCTCCTTTTTATAACTAATTCATTTATACACCTGAGTTCTTAAAAAAACTCACTGGGCACCACTTAACGTGTTTTGAAACACGTTTTAAAACACACATGGGCCGAAAATGGTATAACTTGAAAAGAGTCCTTTTAGTTTTAGTTTCCTGTATTATTGCTTTAATTTTCACATACACCCCATTTTTATCAAAAGTGAACCTCTCAAACAACTCGATACTCGTTAAACATTTATCCGATTCTTTTATTAATCAGCGTCCAGTTGAAAAAGATAGTCATAATCCAAAACTGGAAGAGTTTTCGCGAAAATGTTCGAAAATTTTGGATCCCGGACTGTCTGATTCTGAAATGAAAAATTTTCTAGAAATAAATCAACACTCATTTAACCTTCGCTACAATGAGAACGGTTCGTTTCCTGCATGTGCCGACTATTTTATTCAGCGGGAGGGTTTTCTTCACCGTGGAACTGTTACCGACTTAGAGAGGAGTCTCCCTGTGGCTTTTAGTATTATTGTTTACCACAATTTCGACCAAGTGGAACAGCTGCTACTTGCACTCTACAGGAAACACAATTTTTATTGCTTACATGTGGACAAAAAAGCAAGCAGCAACTTCATGAAATTGGTAAATCAAGATATAAGAGTTATTTATGATTTTTGATGGATATTGAAAATCGTGTGAGTTGGTTTTCTGTAAAACGCTACAACTTATACTAAAAAAAACTGAGTCTAAATTTTTGTTTTAAACGCAGAAAAATATGAATCAAAACGCTTTTTTTTGTGCATGCTGTTTTTTGTGCATGCGTGTGTAAATTTTAGCCTAAAACTTAGGCATATTCAGCAGTAATAATAAAAAAAGGCAAACTGGACAACGGTTTTTCCCGGAAAATGGTTTGTAAAACAGAAAAAATTATAAGAATTCTGTAATTTTTTTAAAATTTTTTTTGAATAGAAAAAAAGAATTTTTCGGGGTTTGAATAAAAACTTACAACTCGCCTTTCTTGTTCGTTCGCTTGGTGTTTTAAATGGCCTTTACGATAACGTGTTTGATAATCCTGCTCGATAATCTTGCTTCTTACTAGCTCGATAATGACTTAAACTCTCAAAATTTTTAACCGTTTTTTTTCGACACTGTGGGGAACTTGTGTAAAAACTTTTTTATCATGTCTTTCGAATCACAACTAAGATGGCCTCAACTTGATAAATCACTCGACTTAGTCCAATTATTTGCGGTACCTGATTTTGAATGGTAAAAAACTAGGATCTTATTAACAATTTCCCTCCATATTTCGATTTTCACAAATTCAACGTCGTCTGCCACATTTCCAATGGCTTAAAACAATTTTCAAAAAGTTTATTTAATCGAAATTTTTACCTAGGTATAATATAAATAGTGAGTAATTCAAATACGAACGCGCAAAAATAAAAACCCAAATAAAGTTGGACTTTTTTGAAATGCATATTTTATACAGGAATATGGATGTCATAAATAATACATGCATAGGGGAATTAGTTAACAAGGTCCAAAAGGGGGGCAATAAATAACAAGATCCAAAAACTAGGACACTTCCGAATTCAAAAATTCTCCCCGTTTTCAGTAATCGAAACAAAAAAAAGTAGGTGAAAAAAATTTCAAAAAATTACCGTCTTTGGCCTTTGATAAAAGTTTATCTGGTAAATTCATCAAAAATTTTGAAATTTTTTAAAAAGTTTTTTCTAGTGTTCATGTTTTTTCTAGTTCAATTGTACATAAAAAACAGGGAAAATTGAGGCAACAAACATGAATTTGGGGATGAGAAATGAGATACAAAGTCAATGACTCAAATTCTCGCTTTTGTTTTTTCATTTTAAAATTTTAAAACTTTCAGACTTTTAAGCGAATGAGGCCCGACAATTAAGTTGCATCATTTGAATTTTACGAGCTTATTTTTTAGTTTTAGTCACAACTAAAATCAAATTTCCTTAGATTTACAGCAAACAATCTCCCACGCGCTCAATTATGCGACAAAGCAAAGGAAACAAGATGCTCTTATCATGGCGAAGCTCTGATTGTTCCGACTGCCTTTTAACGTCTATGCAGCAGTAATAAAGCGAAAAAACTTAATGTAAAAAAAATAAAACTAAATTATTTTAACTCGAGAATTTTTGTGAAAATTATCCCCCCACACGCCATAGAAAGTACAAAGTGATAGGTTTCATTCATATTAACAAATCAATTATGACAAATAAGCTTCCTTGAATCAATTTGGGTTGTTTACTATGATTGAAGTCCCGCTAACGCGTTAATTGCGCAAAACATATCGCGCGTTAATTGTCCCAAATTGGCCAAAAACGGCAATCTTTAAACCCACATAACTTTAAGAAAAAATATCATAGGTAAAATATATATTTTTTTCAAATTCAAGGTCAGGACAGCAATATTTTTTGAATAACATAAAAAATTTCTGTCAAAAATGGCTAGTTAAAAAGTCGAAATTTGTGTGAAGAAAAAAAAAACCACCCCGAGCACAAATACTGCAAATATTCCGTTACTTTCGTTAGGAAATTCGGAACAAAAAGCATTAGATTTTTTTCCTCTAGTAAAATAGCACCAACATGAGCGTTAGTTTTACATTGTCACCTGATTATTTTCGTAAGGAAATTTACGATTGTCGAAAATGGTTCAATTAGTTGGCATTGCGAACTTTTATAGCAGGCAGGCATTATTAACAAAACAAAACAATTACAGTTGCTCGTATTTAACGCCCGATAACCGGGTTGACCATAAATGCTTTTCATATGCTTATCATACAATTCCATATGTACAAAAGATTCTATAAGGCTCTATCATAATCGTTTCGAAAATTGCATGACAAGCGTTTTCATATATCAACAAGACTGCTCATATCAAGGCGAAGCCCTGAATGTTCCGAATGTCTTCTAAGGTCTATGGAGATAAATAACATGAAAAAATTAAAAGTAATAAAAACAAAATGAAAATGTTTTTGTATGAGATTTATTTTATGAAAATCATTCTGACACGCCATATAAAGTACAAAGTGACATATCGTAGTAACATATCAATTATGGCAAATAATAGTCCTTCAACCAATTCGGAACGATTTCTGAGACGGATTATATCTCCGTCTACGCGTTAATAGCGCGAAATATATCGCGCGTTAATTGTCCCAAATTGGTCAAAATAGCAATCTTTGAACCCCCATAAGTTTTAAAAAAAAATCACAGGTGAAATCAAATTTAAGCTAATGGCTAGTTAAAAGTCGAAATTTGTCTGAAGAAAAAAAACTCATCCCGAGCACAAATGTTCCGTTACTTCCGTTACGAAAGTTGGAACAGTAAATTAAGTTTTGCTACAACAACTCAACTTGATTTCGGGTTTTGTCGAAAACACAACAAATAAGGCTTTTTATTGAAAAAAAATCGTTTGTGTGGCAAGATCTACTCAGGTGGGTTACTCTTCTGTTATCGTTTCGCAATCACACAATATGATCACAAAAAAAGCGTAACGCTTTGTATATTACTCTATTAAAAAACGTTGTGCTTAGAAAATCATTGTAGTTTGTGGTTATTTTCTGTAAAATGTTTGAGTGTATAAAAATGCAAATTCACGAACAAAATTTCTTAACTGAATAATTTCGTTTGATTTTGCATCAAAATAAAATGTGAAAAATAGATATAGATAGATAGATAAAACTGTATAATTGTTTCGAGAATTACTTTGGGTTTCACAATCTGAATTAACGTTCCAAAATTGATGATCCAATGCTATTCATTTTCACTTTCAGATGAAGAATCTTGTCAGTTGTTTCCCGGAAAACGTTTTCTTGGCCGCTGAACCTGTAAGTGTTGCGTGGGGGAACTTTTCACTTGTGGAAGCAGAGCTCACATGTATGAGGCAGCTTTTGGAGAATTCAGACAAGTGGAAGTATTTCATCAATTTAACGGGCGAAGAGTTTCCATTGGTGACGAATTTGGAGTTGGCTACAGTTTTGAACAAATTGGGAGGCCGAAATATAATTGAAAGTAAGTTAAGTTTTCTTGTTATGTGGTTTTGATCAATGATAGTTTTTTGGGTGCAAAACCTTTCCAAATACATTTTTTTCATAGTTTTCCGTTGATTTATTGTCTTAATACATAATTTTGCCAATTCGTAATTATCTATGATTTTGAATCATGGCATTCTGTACATCAACTCTACTTTAATCTGGACAATGCTGTTCAAGACTATTCCGTCAATTTTTTCTCTCCTTGTTTAAATTAGGCTCATTATTTCAGAACCACATTCACATGTGAGCAAGGTGAAAAGAATACCCGACAATATTCCCTTCGGCCTCAAGCCTTACAAAACGTCGACACACGTTGGTTTATGTCGCAGTGCTGTTGATTACTTAATTAACAACAAAGTTTCAAAATCACTTCTTGAAACTTACCAAACATATCCTTTTGCTGAAGAAGCTATATTCGCTATTTTGGAATATAACAACCATACCAAGTTTCCCTGTTCGAAATTTGACCAAAAAATAGTATCGCAAAATATAACATTCGAAGCACGTTATAAAGTATGGACCGGAAACAACGTGAAAAGTTGTATAAGTGGTCACATGAAACGTGAAATTTGCATGATTGGAGTGAAAACTCTTTCGGGACTTATGAACAAGTTTTACGGCAATCGACTCGCAGTAAACAAATTTCCGTGGAATTTTCAGCCTGCTGCATGGGACTGCCTGATGGCCTGGCACCATACACGGGTTCACAATGAAACGCAGAGAGACGCAAAAGTATCGCCAGTTTTATTGGCAAAATTATCAAAAAATTTGAGCTAGCTTGACTGTTTTTTGTCTTTGAGTGTTCACTATTCATATGTTGTTCTGTATATTATATTGTGCAGTAAAAACAAAACCCGAAATAATTTATGTCCTTTGTTCCAATTGTTTTTTGACAATAAACCAAAGCTCTTCAAAACCATGGGAGCAAATTTTTGTATCTGTTTTAAGTACTAAACTTGATACTCGAAGATGCGATGATGGCCAAAACTTTCTAGCATTTAGAATTGTAAAAAAAACTAGAAAATTGAAATTGAGCTCAAAATTTAACTAGAATTGTTTTTTTAATGCAAAACGCAACTATTCAGTCAAGGGAAAAGCGAAGTTGGATAAGTTACAACAATTGAATTCTGATGAAACCCTAAATTTTCAGGATGCGTTTTGTAAACGAAGAAAACCGGGAAAACGAAGACAAACGAAGACAAACATAGAAAACAAAACTGCTCGTTCTGAAATTTTCGTGAACGCATCAGCCATGAATGCCTGAAGTTTTCGATTGCCCATTAACTGGTCTTCAATTAGTTTTGTTTAGAAAAAAAATTGATAAATATAAATATTATGACTGTCATTACCAAAAACTAATTTTTAAATTTTGAGTCGCCATTACAATTGAGCATGAACAATAACCCGGCTTCAATTAAATTTGGAACAGTTTAGAATTCGAGAGAGTTCTTGGGGAGACAATAAAAATGTGCGTTACGTTTCGAGCATTATTTGCATAAATCAACAAAGAAAGCAGAACTTAGCCACAAATCTGGCCAAATCTACAGTTTTTAAAAGTCAGAAGAAGTCAAAAAACAATCGCAGGTAAAACCTGCTTTTGTTTTTCAAATTATGGATTCACTATCTTCTTTGCTGTGAAAAAATTTCGAGAACAACATAATTCGATTGCCAAAATTGATTTTTTCAAGGAACAACCTAAGAACACCTATGCTTTACCTTTTTCGAAAGTCAGAACAGCATGCAGATTAGAGTCAAAATTTCAAAGCTAGAATTTTGCATTTCAATAAACCATTAACAAACCAAAGTGAAAAACATCAATAATAGCGGGTAGCTTTTCTTCCTGATTTATAAAAACTTCAAGTAATTCTGTCAGTTATTCAAAAAAAGTCTGATTTTATAAAAAAAAAGCCCCTGCATGTTTCAGGGCAAATCGATGAATATTCCGACTGCCCTTCAACGTCGAATAATTGTTTTTGCTTAGAAGGCAGTTAAGGTTGTCTGGTAAAGAAAACTAAGAGCAAAGTGCTAGGTTCAATTCAATTTGGAATGATTCAAATTTGAGCTCACGCTTTAATAGGACAAATTTTCATCTTGATTCATTCTGGTCTTATTTTCATAATTTAAGCTTTACGGTCAAGTTAGTTTTTAATTCAACTCTCAAAAACGTTTAAAAAAAAGAATCGAAGGTAATTTGCATGTAAAATTAGCTCAAAATTTTGATTGTCTCGTGTCAGGTATTTGAAGTTTTTTTAAATCGTTTTTTTTTAAAGAAGTTTTCATTTTTTTAAATCTCTCCCCTTTCACGCCAAATGCCAAAACGCGCTCAAAACCAATATATTTTGGAATATAAAAAAGTTTCCGTCAAAACACTGAAATTTGTTTGGAAAAAAATCATACCATCCGGGTACAAACATTTGATTACACTCTTCATTACTCAATTTAAAATAAAAGTGACTTATTTCGAATCTAGTAGCCCATTAATTGGAGCAATTATTGTCTCTCGATCATTTCCGCAAAAAAATGAGTGGAATTATTTGCCTTATTTGCTACGCCAAAATAGAAAAGTAGAAAATTTAGGCGTAGTAGTTATCCTATAATGAACAATTTTTTTAAAACAATATTTATAACAAATTAGACAAATTTTTAACCCATATAACCTCCAAAGCATCAATATAACCGCAAGCATCGATCTTTCTTAGGTAGCAGGAAACAATTAAGTCAACAATCGAAAAAAAGTATACACTGCTGAGAAAAATTAATCGGGAAAAATTAAATTCGCTTTGTTCATTCTGCAAATGTGTTCTCTGGATAATATTTGATTAGAATGGTGCTTTATTTTCTGTCTTCTTAAAATTTTTGACGAATTGGATTAGATTGAGATTTTAACACATTATAAATCAGGCATTTTTGAAATCAATTCAATCTAATATAATAAATTATTTCGAATTATGATAGATTGGATTAAAATGTAATAAGTTATAATCTTTCTTGAAGGAAAAGATTGCGTTTTTAAATTCAAAATTAAAGTTTTTGCATTTTTATTAAAATTGATTGTAGTTGCAAATGCAAGTGTTGCTCTTTGAACGTTTAAGAGGGACTTACAACTTTAAGCATTTAGAAAAATAAAATCATATTTCCGGTTCATTTTTTGACTCCTCAAGTATTGTCGGCTTTGCTTCCTCTTTGTAATTTTCCGTGTTCATTCAATACTATGTTGCGTGTTCATTTAATACTCAAATGTCTGGTATGTTTGCTTGTATTGAACATCTATCCAGACTGATTTTTTTCAATATTTTTTTATTGTTTTTCTAACTTTCATTGTTTCTTATGTTTGTGTTGTTTTGCAAGTGATGCGAAGCTCCGCTGTGCCTCTATTTTCAAAATCTTGGACTATAATGGATGATTAGCGATTGCGGGGAACCAAATTGTAATTTAACCGAATCATAATGGCAACCGCGTACGAAAATTAAAAACGAAAATCAATGATAAATGATTATTTTTACTGGTGCATCTGTAGAGAATACGAAATCGGCCGATTTGAAGTTTTCAAGCCCCTGCAATTTTACGTGTAATAATTGGTAAATTTATTTCAAAATCTTTTCGTGATGTTGCTCAAATCAGTTATAGTTATCAAAAAGTTGATTAAAAACTTACCAGCCGAAAAGTTCTTGAAAAGTTTTAACTAATTTTTTTTTGAAAAAGCCACACTACTCACAAATATACCATCGTTTTCTTCAGTAACTGGAATGATAACAATTAATAATAGATCTTAAAAATGGGGTTTTTTCAAATAAAAAATTGGAGGTTATGTATATATTTCAGGTGATGAGTGAGCCTTAATTTTAGAGAAAAGGGCTACACGAGCCCAATATTTAAAAAAAAACAGTCCATAAAATGTGTGCGCGTGTATTTGCGCTTGTGTGTACGTGTGTGTACTGGTGTATTGTATGGTTGGGTGGTTGCTGGGTGGAGTGTGAGGATATATCCTCTATATTTTACTCCTGATCAGCATAGGATGCTGTGGCATAAAAATTGTTCAAAAAGTTATTAACATGAGCTTTTTTTTTCAAAAGTTGTTACCGATGAAAAGCCAGGTACCACAGATAGGACCAATGGTTAATCATATCCCATGTCAGTCAAAGATAGTTCGATCTGCTAATTTTGTATTGTTTTCCACTTAAGCTCGAGGTTCAGTTCGAAGATAATGCAACCTAATTATACTTTGATTGTCAATCCTAGCTAAAATCACAAATTTCAGGATCAGAATCAGATACATCCAGGTAAACTGAAGTATCATTTTCAGGATTTCAGATGAAGCTATATTTTAGCTGCTTGATATATATATATAGGATTTGTTAGTGATTTCTACTTTTAATGGCTTAGTCCTTGTTTTCAAATTCCGCATTTGCTAAAGTTTCTTTAGACCTCTAACTATTATTTGTTCGCACAAAAAACTTATTTCAGTTTAATAAAGCAAATTGCGTATTCTTCTACAATTTGCGGAATCCAGTTTTACTTTGCGGAACCCTTTTACATTTTGCTGAATCCGCTTAAATTTTCGGAAACTAAAATAACCAGTTATATTCGATAAATGAGGAAAAAAATTGATAATCTAAAATTTTTGTTCAATACACATAATCGTATTCGGTGATATTTTTTGGGTGAAAATCAAACTCAAAATTTTTTTTTATTTTTTCTTTGATTTGTTGATTCGAAAACAAACAAGTTCTAGAACTTCATACTTTTTCATTTTGAAGTCATGTCGCTCTATACATCAACCATATTTTAATCTGTACAAATGGTTAATTGACTCATTCTGTCTTTTTTCTCTCACCTCGTTTAACTTGTGTCCAGTTTTTCAGAACCAAGATTGCAAGTGGATCTGAGCAATGAGAAACAAAAAATCCCCGACAGTAATCCAATCGGCCTCAAAATGTAAGAAACATCAAAATAAGTTGATATAATTCGCAATGCTGTTGATTACTTATTCAACAACATTTCAACCCTCAGAAAATGATGAAATACAATCAAGAGTAAATTGTGTTCTTATTTTTTTGTATCAGGGAGCCAATTTCTCAGCCCAATTTCTCAATTACTTATACCATATTGGACCATTTGACAAGTTTTATACCCCTATGATTTCAGAAGGGCCCAAACGTCAGTATTTGTGAGATGTTTGCAAACAAATTCATTCATAACTATGAATGCAAAAGCAGACACTGACTGGTCTGAAAAAAATATCGGCGAAAAATTATTTGAGCTTTGTTTATCCCGCAAAAAGGTTCTCCATGGATAATAATTCAAAAAAAAAATCTTTATGATAGTTTTAAAACTGTGATAAATTAGGCAAATCAGGAATAAATTGAATCTAATATAATTGATTGGAAAGAATTTTCAAACATTTCAATGAGTTATAAACGTTTTTTCAAAATTTCAGAGCCAAAGCCTGGTTTTTCCAAAATCAAAACTATTATTTTCAAATCTTGAAAGTTTCAAGGATTAAATTTGGCCGGTGAGAAAATTTTAAAAGTTTGTTTTATACTTGTCTCCTTGACGAAAACTTAACATAAAACCACGACCTCGACAATGGAAACTACTGAACAGCCAAGCACAAAAAAAATCAACTCTTTTTAAAACAGACGCAAAGATTTTTCATTTAAAACGATACCATTAAGGCAAAACGAAAACAGGTTGACGATAAAAGTGTACAGATTGACAAAAACCTGAACATGAAACCACGACCTTGACAAGGGAAACTACTCAACAGCCAAGCACAAAAAAAGTCAATTCTTTTTGAAATAGACGCAAAGATTTTTCGTTTAAAACCATACAGTTTAGTAAAAACGATTAAAAAATTTAA